GACCTTCCAGGCTGTGATGAGGTTCGACACTGACGTGGAGCTCACTTACTTCCGTAACGGAGGCATCCTGAACTACATGATCCGCAAGATGGCCCAGTAGGAGCTGGCCTCCCAGGAGACCTGCCCTGTTGGTGCCAGAGCCAGCGAGGTACCAGGCCCCAGCTAGCTGAGGCCTGGTAAAGCAGCCACCTCTACCTCTAATGAGGGGCTGCCAAGATGAGCAAGTGGGCACTGCCAATGCTGGAGGCACCGGGCCAGGACTTTCTACATTCTTAATTTGTTAATCTTTTTATCCTTTTCTATAATTTGGAATCTAGAATCATGGGAAGGTCAGTAGTACCAAAAAGAACTAGCTTGTCTTTAAGTTACTGATCACCGGACATTGATTTTTTTCACTCTGACTAATCTTCAACTGAACACTAGCCAGTATTCTCAGAAGTATCTTCTAGCCTTTTTACTGTTCTCCTCTGCTCAGTGAACCTTCCTCAGAGAGCCTGTTCCTCTATACATTACACCAGTGTTGACTGACATAGGTAAGAACTTCTTCACACTTCAGGTCATAGCAGTGATGTCATCCCCTCCTTCTAGGTGAGCAGAACCCTGGTGGGTAGGTCAGCCATCAAAGGGGTTTATGTACCTTTCAATCAACATGAAAAATCGTCTTTACCATTTTCAACATTTGTTGAGAGGGGGGCCTTTGTCTGAAAGTAACTGGGGAGAGAGATGGGATTTCTAATTTGAATAAGATTAAATATATTTTCATGAAAATCCGTTGGCTTTGGAATTGAGTTCTGTTGGGAATGTGATCACAATGCTGTGACACGGAGAGCCATATGAGCCCTGAGAGGCCTTCATACCTGCTCCTTCTACCACTGTATCTGGACTGCGGACACCGAGGGACTGTCAAGGAGCCAGTGTGTGAGCTGCCTGTTGAGAGCAACTGGAAAGAAGAAGGGTCCTTCTTCCTTGGTTGCAGCAGCAGCAAGGAGCAAATCATGGCCTCTTGGTGTCCTAAAATCTGTTCACTCATTTTCACAGCTGGGATTATTTCGTGGTGTGCCTTGTTCTGCTCAGACTGCCGCAACAAAATGCCATAGACTGTGAATCATCTATCCCCATCTTGTTTGAGACCATGTGGGAACTTGCACATATGTGCGCAAGCACGTGTGCACACATATAAACACACACCTTCTCTCTGGAAGCTGGCTGGCCGCCATTTGCCTGGCTCTCACAGTGTGAGCCTGGTTTCTTTGAGTCTGAATGAGAACTAGAGCTGAGGATGTTACCTATCCTATGCATGGCCTGACCCCTGAGCCTTGATTCCAGACTAACCAGTACCTCTGTTATGGATTAAAATTTCTACTGGGGGAGGGGTTGTCTTGTATCTCTGGGGTAGTTGCAATTGACCCCCATAATCTCAGAGGGAGTGGCACTATTAGGAGGTGTGGCTTTGTTAGAGTGGGCATGGCCATGTTGTGTCTTTTCTTGTTCCTCACTTCGGCTTGAAGAGCAGCTTGTGGCATTTCCTGTGGCAAGTCTGTTGGAGATGACACGTTCTTTTTCCTGTCTTCATCTTAGAATAGATGTTCTAGGAACAGTATTCTTGACTGGCAGTTTTGAGAGTTAGGATGTTTGATCTTGGTCTTTCTAGAAATGTCTGTGCTTACGCTATCCAGATGCCGTCGCAGCAGCCTGAGTGGACGAGGACACTGGTTGTGAGGGAAGTGTCTTGTGGCTGTGACTCGGGCCCTTTCACTCTCACCTCTGTCCAACCATATCTTCTGTTCTTTCCGCTTCAGTATTCTTGGCCTGTGCCCTATGCTCGTCCAAAATAAGACTGTACAACCTTTTACCTGAGTTCTCGAGGTGGTGCTGGCCCACTTACTCTCCAATTGGAAGTATAGCTCCTGCTGGTTCTACTGGCTTCTTCCTCTTGAAAAGGGAGAATAATTTCATTGGTGTTTATGACTTTCCAAGAGCACTACTGCCTTTTCTTCCTAAAGAACAGGCATTCCTTAGCATCCAAAATGAGTTAATTGCCAAATTTGCTTAACACAGCAACAAAGTACATGTACCTTTTGTTGTGTGTATGTGTGCATGTACAACACGAAGGATATGCTAGGTGTGTATGTGTGTGTATACAACGCAAAGGAAG